GGGGGGGGGTAATATAAGAGGTTTTAAGAACTGAGACACAGGTACACAGATATAGAAAGATATCAAGAAAGAGATGTAGCTCGATATGATAAGCTGATAAAGAGGTAGGCAAGTCTAGAGAAAACTCGATCAGATTAACAGGCACAAAGAATGAATGAAAAAAAATGAAGGCAGGAATCAATAAATCAATAAATCAATAAATAAATAAATCAATCAATAAATCAATCAATCAATTAATCAATCAATCAACCAATCAATCAACCAATCAATCTAGGGAGAGTGCTACCAAATTGGTATCTAATTAAAGTATTATTAATTGATTGTTGTTATACCTTGTAATAGGTTACAGTAGGACTTCTGAGATTTACCTTTATACTACAAATAGATAGTTATTTTATTTCTTTTTTGTGCATTACGTCACATAGGCAGACATTATAATTGCAGGAAAAAATGGCACATCGGAAGAAAAAAAGCGTTTTTGTGCCATATGGCAGCCATTTTGAAAATAATTATATAACATTAGTTCCAACACTCAAACTAAATTTAATTTATAGGGGTATTCAGTTGAACCCATTCACACGCATTCCAGGCTATGCTTTCTATGCTTTTATGACGAGAAATTAACCCCCCACTAGGATACCAAAAATTTCACATTCAGATTCAAAGTGGATATACTGCCTTTAAGAAAAAAATACAAATAACGTAGACGTTGACACACCTTTTAGACAACATTATAACCAAATTTACATTTCCTTCCCATTGATATTTCTTCAAAATAACGTAATAGACATATTAAACTTTACAAATGTTCACAAAATATGAATTAGGTTACCCTCCCCCGACCCTTGAAAATTTTTTTATGTTCCTCAAAGTGAGCGTTCTTTTTTATTTTGTTTTTTGTTTGTGTTTGTGGGTTTTTTTTAGAGGGGAGGAATTAGGACATTACATTTCAAAGCCATTTTTAACCCGATTTTTGTTAAGCAATTTAAAAAAAAGGTTAAGGGCTGCAGAAAAATGAATGCTCTTGGTAAAAATCACAAAATGTTTACAGGTCAAATTTTGACCCAAAAATGAAATAAAAAAAAAAATGGTGGTTCGTCTGAGAAAACCAGACTTACAACATTAAAATCATTGGGCCACAAAAGTTTCCCTATCTCTAAATGAAAAGCACGCTCTAAACTACGGTAGATAACACACAACTACCAAGCAAACAATAAATAAACTGCCACGTGAGAGGAACAAAGCTGCACCTGACAGGACTCATGCAAGCAGAAAGAGAAAGACATAATATATGAGATGCGATCATCATCATCATCATCATCATCATCATCATCATCATCATCATCATCATCATCATCATCATCATCATCATCATCATCATCACCATCAACAGCAGCAGCAGCAGCAGCAGCATCATCATCAGCATCATGAGCAGTATCTTTTTCTAATGTAACAATAATATCATCTGACTTTTATAGCCTAAAAGACAGAAACCTAACCAACAGCTTACAAATTGACATATGACCTACGTGATTAAGGATTCCTTTTTTTTCTCTTTTTTTTGGTCTCATGTTTCATAAACTTGAGCACTTCTTAAATCTTCCTTTTCTATCCGTCAAAAACAAAAATAGAATTCTAAACGAAAAGACCGCAAGAAGAACAGAATTTCCTTCGAGACACACACTCGAATCCAAGTTGAATTTCGAATTTAAACCATCGAGAAAAAAACCCCCCCAAACAACCAACTAGCTAACTACATGGACATGCAAACAACTTCTTGAAAAAAATAATAATCTAAAAGTCGTGCAAATGAAATACAAAGACGAACGACCAAACGTGACTAGGATGATAAGCATAGACTTTTTTTGTTTCTTACTTTCTTTGGGAGTGCCACCCATTCACGGGACTGTAAAGAGAGGAAAAGAGACGAGAAAAATAGATCGTTTTGCAACACCTTGGCGACAACAGTTTTAGAAAAGCGAGACAATCCAAGCCGTGAGAGGATACCGAAGGGTGAACTGCACACTCCAACACTCCGTGCAAACATCTTGACAACCGAGAAGAACGTTTTAAGAAGAAATAGAAATTAAATTAAAAGCAGACCAAGATGGCATAAATTAATGAATCACTGCAGGTGTCCAGTGTCCACTTTTGAGCAATTTTTTTTAAATATAGAAGGGATACAACTCATGCAAATATTTCAGCTTTGACTAAATAGAGAGTAGTTTTCCTTGGTTTTACATCGCAGAATCGAATTAACCCTATCCAACGCCCTGGGGTCATTTTGTACCCCGTGGGTTGTATTCTTCACATTTTATAATACTTTTAATACGAAGATCTCTTTGAAACTTTTGATATTTTTCAAAAATATGATTTTGACAGACTGCTATGCAAATGTCGGATCAGAAAACGAGTAAATTTCCTCTTTGGAAAGTGATGGCACAGAGTTCTCACGTCGTATGGGTACGATAGTAAAACACGACGTACGGATAGGGTTAAGGCTCATGTTTTGATTATGTGCTATGATTTCTTGTAGCAAATTACAAATAGGTTTTAAAAACGACAGATCCTGCTATAGACCTAGTGATTATCTCTGGTAAATCTAATCGGTAAGAAATTCAAAGAAGAAGAAGAAGAAGAAGAAGAAGAAGAAGAAGAAGAAGAAGAAGAAGAACAACAACAACAACAACAACAACAACAACAACATGACAATAAAAAGAACAAAGCAACACTTTAAAGGAGCACACTGAACTGCCGCAAACATTTTTATCCAGGGATAAAGATTGTAATAAATGTACCTGATAGAGTATTGTTTATTTTAATTTCTCATGGATTTTAGGAAAACAAAGCAGATTTAAGACCATTAAAATTAATTAAAATCTTATATATTCAGGTCATGATTTTCGCTAATTCTTAACTCTGCCGCGCATTTAATTTCACAAAAAAAGGTATTTAGGTTACATATTTTTCATTTCAAAGATAGAACAAAGCCCCCTTCATACGAATCAGTTGGCTCTATAGTATGGTAATATTGATAATATTATTATCTAATGATCATGATGATGGCGGCAACAACATCAACGGTACTCATGGTGATGTTGATCTTGCTTATTCTAACAACAGTGACAGAGGAGGAGGAGGACGAGGAAGAGAAGGAAGAGGAAGAGGAGGGGGGGGGCAAGAAGAAGAGGGGTAAAGAGGTAAGGGGAGTAGGATTTGGGAAGAGGAGAGTAGGAGGAGGAGGAGGAGGAGATAAAAGAGGATGTGCAGGAAGAGAACATTGAAGAGGAGGGGGGGGGGGATCAATTTGATGATAGTGGTGTGGTGATAGTGATGATGACTATAGCAGTAACTTGGGCAATCATAACGACAGGAATAATGGTATAATAGAAGTAACGTAATAGAGGTGACAATAAAACAATTAAAAAAACAACAACAACACCAATAGCAACAACCATAACAAAAACAACAACAAACAAACAAACAAACTCATTAACACAAACAGTTTGGTCGGTTCGGTCAACAACGAAAACCACGGCACTAATAATTGAATGCATGTATCTACATGATTGTGTTTTACAGCTGTCTAAATTGCTCTTATCCTTTGAAGACAATGAATGAAGATAACAGAGAGAAAATGTCACAATTTCCCCCTTTTCCCAATTTTGACTGATTTGATCAATCGTTTGGCTCACTCCATTTGCCAATCAAAAACTATTAATTGGTCGCTTTTAAGGACAAGCGGGCTAACCCACATTTTTGGGGTTTCCAGAAATCTTGACCTACAGCAAAAGTGGGCATTGATCTACTTACAGGAGAAGTTTGGTTTCATTGGTGTGTATATTTGTTTGGTTCTAGAAAAAAATCTCCTTGTCTTTTAAAGGAACTGAACAACTTTACCTTCGATTTTCTCAAAACAGCATTTTTCAGGATAGCCCTCTTGTGCTTAAAAGCGACCAATTATATATAAAAAAAGGACCAAGTCACACATTGCTGACACACAGGGAAAGAGCGATCGCAGTTTAAGACTTATCGTGAAAGAAAAGCAGTAGTTCAAAACTTCCTCTCTGAGACTACACTCCCTCCCTCCCCTCCTCCCTACCCCACTCCCCCCTACTCCCCGTAGTCTCCACGTCAAATGTGAGGCAGTGTGGTGGAATCAGGCTCTCGTCACAATAATAAAAGTGAAGAAACTTGCATTTTTCCGCAGTTTTGTAAATTTTTATCAAAATTTTGTTTTTTGACTCAAAACATTTCATGCCCATTAAAGAACTCATTTCTGTGTGGATTTTTCTGAAAAACGTTGATTAAAGGTACAAAAAATGTAAATTTTCAGTTACCACGGACTCTTAAGCTAAGAAAATAACTATATTTTTGGTGGCCATTTTCTCACTAATTTTACGCCTGAAAACAGATGACCCCCACCTCCTTCATTCGCAAATATCTCGACTTGTATTCAAGATAAATGGATATTTTTTTCATCCATATAAAGACAAGTGAACAAGCATTGAGATGATATCAATAACTCTACATGCCCCAAAATTGACGAGAGCCTGATTCTACCACGCTGCCTCACAAAATTCATCAAGGATAGCTTCTGTCCTCTGGTGACCCCCTGACTCTTTAAAGAAAGACATTGACCTCTTTTTAGTTTTAGTAAGAGTCTTACAGCACTTGCCACACAATAAGGTCATAACATAAATGCCAAAGATTAGAAGTGTTACAAGAGAGTAACAAACACACAAAAGAAAGAGGGGAGAGAAGGACGATAGGGATAGGTGTTTGGTTTGGATAGGAAAGAAGAAGCAAACAACACCAGAACACCCGCCAAACACCCACACATTGACCCCGACTGACCTTGGTGGTCCGAAGTGAGGGTAGGAGAGTTCCGGATGTTTGTCCTGGACAGCTCGGAAGGCCTTGTGGAAGTCATCATAGCCGCAGTGGTTGCTGTATCGGAGATGGACGGGCAGCGTCTCATCCAGCTGAGGCCGGATGACATGAGATTTGAAACTTTACAAACGACGCAAAGACTGGAAGAACTCTTGTAATGATGATAATAATAATAATATTATTAATAATAATAATAA